AACCCACTAAGCCACATAGGTGTCCCACGCCTCATAATTTTTGACTGGGTACTGGATGTTGTGAATGAAAAGTCATAGAAACTCTGGAACATGTATCTTCCAAAAAATTTGTTATGTTTTCTGACAGGCTGATGGGAGTATTAGCAGATTACTGTCTTTTATCCTATCAAAATTGGTGTTAGGCTTTGTTAGGACTAGTCTGTTTTTTTTTTTTTTCAACGTTTATTTATTTTTGGGACAGAGAGAGACAGAGCAGGAACGGGGGAGGGGCAGAGAGAGAGGGAGACACAGAATCGGAAACAGGCTCCAGGCTCTGAGCCATCAGCCCAGAGCCTGACGCGGGGCTCGAACTCCCGGACCGCGAGATCGTGACCTGGCTGAAGTCGGACGCTTAACCGACTGCGCCACCCAGGCGCCCCAGGACTAGTCTGTTTTAATCTTGCTCTGAGTATGCACAACTTGGGAATGGGCTAACTGACAGGAGAGGAATTTATGTGCAGAATTTGGGGCTTTTTCTATTCTTTTTCCTTCTCTCCAGGATTTTGGCAGCCTTAAACTCTGACCTCTCTTCTCCTTAGCTCAATAGGATTGGTGCTTTCTACTTAAGCTCCATGGTGCTACGTCACAGTTTGGAAAATGTCTCTAGGGAGAAGGCTGGGGTGAATGTGGAACTTATTAGCATTTTCCCACCTCTCAATGATTATAGCCCCTCAATTCCTGTCTGTTGTTTTATATATTTTACTCAGTATTTTGGTTGTTTTTGGAGGTAGGATGGTCTGATACAAGCTACAGAATCATGGCTGGTACCATTTATTATGTAGACCTTCACTTAATCTCCCACATCATGGATGGTACCATTCTCAGCTGTGTTGGTATCCCTAATCTAGAGACATCTATAGTCTTTTGCCGGCATGAGAGAGGGGTGGTCACCTGATTAGGTGAGGTGGAGGAGGCAAACTGTGTGTCTCATGCTATTACACAGCCTTTCAACCAATCCTGTTTTAGTTCTGGTATTATCTTCCCTCACAGAGGCACCTTTTTCTTCCTGTTATTGAGCTAATTTGTAGTGGAAATTGACTTCTTTCCCCCTGCTGGGTTACAGTACAACTTTCTCTAGTTTCCTAAGTTGGTTGCTGCTTGTTCATGTGTTTGTCAGCTGCCAGAAATTTATTGCTGTTATTTTCTCTCCTGTTCTGCCATTTTGATCCATTTAAAGTTGTGTTAGGTCTGGGAAAGAAGTAGAGGCAAATATGTATGTTCAGTTTGATATGTTTAACTCCAAATTGTAATTTATTTTTTGACTTTTTAAAGATACAGGCTGAAGAAATTACTCTTGTGTTTTTTGATTTCTCTGAAAGAAAGACTTTGGCTGCATTTCTCTGTCATTCCTACTGTTTGTGGCTAATGGTACAATTCTAAACAATGTTGAAGTGTACTATTTTGTGACCTACTTTTTAATTTTCTTTGAATTATAGACTAGTAAAGTTGGTAGGGCCCTTAAGGTAGTATTATCTTTAAATTGTTAGTGTTTTTATTTATCTTTTTTTAGTTTTTAAAAATGTTTATTTATTTTTGAGAGAGAGAGACAGACAGAGATGGGGAGGAGCAGAGGGAGAGGGAGGCACAGAATCTGAAACAGGCTCCAGGCTCTGAGGTGTCAGCACAGAGCCTGATGCAGGGCTTGAACTCATGAGCTGTGAGATCATGACCTGAACCAAAGTTGGACATACAACTGACTGAGCCACACCAGGTGCCCTAAATTGTTAGTGTTTTTAGATGAAGGAAACAAGTTGCAGAGAAATCAGGTGGTTTGCTTTTGGTCACATAGTTTTTCCAGATCCATCATTTTATTTGTTATATCACATAACTCTTTGGAAAGCTCAAATATCAAAAACATCTTTGATTTTATGCTTTGAATATCTTTAATATCAGGTATATATTATAGAGATTACATTGATATAATTGTTAGAGACTTTAAGAATAGTGTCAAGTTGGTATTGTGATTTTCATTTGATGTTGGAAGCTGAAGCACAGAAAGGACAAACATTTGTAATTTCGGTGTATTACAAATATGAAATTAGAACACGATTATGATGGTCCTTCAGTTATACATTATGATGATTTTGGATGTGTAAGCCTATTGTACATTTTTTAATTCTTTTTCGTTTAGTTTGAAAAATCTTTTAGGATTTTAATGCAGCCGAGAAGTCTCATGACTAGGAAATAAGTAGCTTGGTTAAATATGTTGTAAGGCACTGAAAGTAGTCTATCTTTTCATGTTTTCCCCTTCCTCCATTGTACAACAGTAGTTTAGTGTAGACTCTGCAGAAAAGAAGGAGTTGTGAGTTGCTCTGAAATCCATTGACCACAAGCCTTTTATTGTTCAGAAAGCTTTCTGCACTTGACAGTATTTGCTGGCAATTAGAATCATCGTTCTTCACTAGCAGGAGCAGCAGATTCTCCTACACTGAGTTGTCAGAACCACAGTGCTCAGGAATGTGGTAGGCAGTAGGGTGTGGTACTAGGGACTCTTGGAACTTCTGTCTCATCAGTGTGGTCCCTGGAAAGGAATTGGCAACTGAATTTTGAGGCAGAGCCAAATTGACTAATTTTGTTTCTCTTTCTTGGCAGCAGTCACAGAATAATGATGGTTGTGAAATAATCTCATTATATGGTTATTATTTAATGTAATTTGATTTGTGAAATTTAGTTTTCTAAGATGAGTTTATCTTGCTATTTTTTCCTAAATAGCATGGTAATATAATATATTCATGTCTGGGAGAAATCATTAAATTCTGGCTGGTGCCCAGATAGCCATTATATTATGCCAGTTGACCATCTTGGACTTGAGAGTATGTTTGGAGTGACTTCTTTAACTCACTGATGATACTATATAGTTATTGTAATAGTTAATTTCCTATTTTTCTTAAAGTTGCTAAACGCCTTGTCATATCTTACAGAAAGTTTGAAATGTAATGTGGTTGTAGTGTTTTCTACGATAGAAGAAGGCTCTTTCCCACAGAAGTTCCTCAGGCATAATTATCCCATTGATTTTACCAGAGGCTGGGTTCTGGACTTTAGTCTTACAGGTCCTGAATATAAATTTTGTCATTTAGGGAGATTGGATCATATTTTAGAGGCAAAGTAAAATTAAACAAATTTAGTATTGATGGATGAAATGAGAACATGGATTTGTTAATTTATCATGAGAAATATGGTAAACTGTCACAGAAATATTTATGTGGTCTTCATGACAAGACCATTTTCTCCTAGAAGGGAATCCTACATTGAAGGCCTGCTTGATGTGAATAGACATAGAAAAGAACAAGTTAGATAAATTAAGTATTTATTAGTTTTAAATTAATACAGTGAATTAATTTACTATAATTTGGGGTAATCTTGCCAATAGACTGTGCTAATGATTGTGACCATTTCACTCTCTTTCCCTCCTCCTTCCCTTTGACTTTTTTTAAGCTTTCGCCAACTAGGATTGGACTCTGGCTTCCGTCCCACCCATCACTTTCCTGAAATTACTATTACTAAAGTTACTAATGACCCTAGTCAGGTACCTTGGTATGGTAAGGGTCTAATTATGATACCAAAGGCAGAAATACGAAGATTAATAACATGTTTAATTAATATCAAAATAATATCAAAATAAATTTTTATATGTAAATAAAATAGAAAGGCAGATAGCATATAAGGAAAAAATATTTATGATGGAGAGGGCTAACATCTTCATTAAAAAGGGACTTTTACAAATTAATAAAAAGACTATTCCAGTAGAAAACGAACAAAAAACATGAATGAGTAGTTCAAAAAAGAAGAAATACAAATGTTCAATAAATGTGGAAGAATTTTTCAAATTAACTGATAAGCAGCAGAAATTCAAATAAAAATGAGACACCATTTCCCTGTTGAATGTAATGAGTAACAGTAACAACAGTGACAGTGCTCACTATGTGTCAGGCATTATTCTACAATAGAATACTGAAATTAACTAATCCTCCCAGTAGTTCTGTAAGTATGTACAATTGTTATCCACATTTTACAGATGAGCAAACTGAGACACATAAAGCTGAGTAACTTGTCCAATGTCACATAATAAAAAAGTGATAAAGTCAGGATGTAAATTCAGGCTCCCCAACTTAAAGTTTTAGTGCTCATTAACTACTATCCTTTATGGCTTCTCAGAGATTTTAATAAATAATAACCGGTGTTAAAAGGGTATCTAGGAAGAGGTACTTTTGTACACTGCTGGTTAAAATATTAGTAGGGGTGCCTGAGTGGCTCAGTCTTGAACATCCGGCTGTTGGTTTTGGCTCCAGTCATGCCTTCAGGATTGTGGTATCAAGTCCCCTGTCATACTCTGTGCTGGGCATGGAGCTTGCTTGAGATTCTCTCTCCCTTTCCACCCATCTCCTGCACTTGTGTGCTATTTCTTAGGAAAAAAAAAATAACATTTCTGTAAAACATTTAAGCTCAATGTTTCAAAATTTTAACATGTACATATTCTTTGAACTAATAATTTATCCCAAGGAAATCCTTATAATAAGTACATAAAAATGTATGTACAGAAATTTTAAAGTTTTTCTATAATAACAAACAATGTAAATAATGTCTAATAAGAGAGAATGAAATAATTTTGGGAAATGCATTCTTATTGGAGATAATAAAATAATGCTGCTAATTAACTCACATAGGAAAAATTTTGTCTCTGTACGTTAAGTATATACAGTATTTGACTTTGCAAAGCATTCTTATAACATTGAAATGTCACTGTTTTTCTCTTTTGAACTATAACTAGGTTGTATGAGTAAAATTGAGATAAAGTTAATTTAATTTTAAGATTTTAAGTATCTTTTTTTAAAGTAAGCAAGTCACTAAGGAATTAGAATTGAATTTGACATAATTGTTATGGAAGACATGCTTTATCTCTGTTAACTGTTACTTTTCTTTAATGTCTAGTATATCTGTTAAGATGCCTTAGAAAAAGAACCATGGAGAAGTATATTAGACTACAGAAGATTGGAGAAGGTTCATTTGGAAAAGCTATTCTTGTTAAATCTACAGAAGATGACAGACAATATGTTATCAAGGAAATTAACATCTCAAGAGTAAGTATTTTTTTTCTTTGGTTATTCAACTAATAGTCTGGTTTCAGTAGGGCTCACCATTAGAGAACAAAAACAAACATGGCAGTGCATAACCCAAAGTGAAAGGCTGCCATAATCCCAAAGAGAACCACTAATTTCAGAATAGTCTGTATATCCTTTCATATTTTTTTCTGTGATGTGTGCTTGTGTTTATGTGTGTGTTTAAAAAAATACAACACCTGCTGTTGTGTAACTTAACCTAGTTTGAACATCTTAAAATGTTTTTACTTGTGGATTCAACTCATTCTCTTTAACTTCTGTCTTTATTTTGTTATTTGGACTGTGCTTTATTGGTACTGTTATATTTTAACCACTCTCTTACTGATGGACTTTTAGATTGTTTATTGATGGTTTAATTTAATGTTTTCTTTTTCTCTCCCATTTAAGATGTCCAATAAAGAAAGGGAAGAGTCACGGAGAGAAGTTGCAGTGTTGGCAAACATGAAGCATCCAAATATTGTCCAGTATAGAGAATCATTTGAAGGTCAGATAAATTTTGCAAGAGTTCACAAGAACTAAGCCACGTGACAACTTTTGGATATTTTCCTTCTAACATATTTTCAGGAAGAAAAGCATATAATTTTTGCTTCCATACATATGTATATGAGTATCAGCTTGATTCTAGGATAATACTAATGTTACCAGTGGGAGAGACTGCATTGTGTGAATGGAGGTCTTGGTCCTTGGATTCCCCACAAGGAGATTTACGTGTGATACTTGCTAGAATAAAGACAGCCAGGAGGGAAGTAACAAGCACAAAACAGTTTATTAAAGCAAAAGTACACTCTACCAGGTGGGAGAGCTGGTAGAATCTACCATAGGTTGTTTTGGGATTGGATGTTATTGGGTCTCTGTGGTTTGGGAGGCGCAGTGACTTACAGTGGGGTGGTCTCTAATAGGAAACTCCTCCCACGGATTGAGAGGGGTAGTTTTTGAGCCTACTGGGATTTGTACCTGAAACTCAAGGCAGCCCTTCTCCAGGGCAGGGCAGCACATCAATGCAAATGCATTGTAATAACTCTAGGGGTTATCCTGGGCAGAGGTGGTAGAGGAAAGGAGGAGAACACCCCAAGGTCTTGGAAGCCTGAAGGTGACGTTGTTGTGCCCCAGGGCTTTTAATGTGTGGCTCATCTGTCATTGTCCTTGCCTCTAGCTCTTGTCCTTGTCTTTCTCCTTTAAGGACTTGGGACTCTGTCTCAGGGCATTACTTCCACTGCTCCTGTCTCTTCTACCTAACACTAACACCACATTGTCTGTGTGTAATTTTATATTGCCTCACTGGTACTGTGATTGCTTAAAAAGAAGCAATGTGGTTAAATTTAAGAATTTGGACAAAGCAAAAACAGTAACATGTCATTTTATTTTTTATTAAAAAAAATTTTTTTTAACGTTTATTTATTTTTGAGACAGAGAGAGACAGAGCATGAACGGGGGAGGGTCAGAGAGAGGGAGACACAGAATCTGAAACAGGCTCCAGGCTCTGAGCT